AAATATATGAAAGGCGCGTTGAAAACACTTATTGTCCCAATATAGTGCGTATGAAACCGCCGTGGTCATTTTATGTAAAATCTTTATTTATTTTTTCAACATGGTGATTGTGCACAACAGTCCAATAATTCCCAAACCGACGATCATCAGTTTCGATACGGGCATCGGTGTTGGAGAAAAGAAATCAACGAATCCGTCCCATCCATCGTGACGCTTAATCCAATCTTCCAGATACCGATCGACGAAACGTACGGTCCAGCAAGGTACGTCGCAGTAACATCACACGATGCAGATTTGAATCGAAGAGGAAGAGGAGGTGGAGGAGAAGCAGCAACAGCAGCACATCTGCCGTCAAAATAATCTCGTACGTGCTCGCGGGTGTTGTTCATCATAGACGGTAAATCTTCCATCGTGATCTCCATCATTAATGTAGTGTCGACTTACAAAATGAGAAGGCACTATATACACACGCAAACGCACACACGATGGTTCGGCGTAGACCAGCTGTGTCGAAGACGGTAATCGTGGTAAGCATCGCGACCGTCATCGTAGTTACGTTAGCTATTGTGGTATCCGTTGTAATATGGACGCCGGATTCGAACCTGACAGCGGTAAACGTAACGAATGCAATAACTTCGTCTCCCACGACCACCACCTCAGGGTGATATTGGTAATAGTGTTGATTGCCTGTTGTATCGCGGTGCTGGCCACGTTCGTCTTCGGATGGAGAGTCGAATGCGACGATAGTCGTTGCGGTGTCAAAGGTTCTTTGGAATCAGACGGCAAGTCCAAATACTGCATGTGCCTCGAAAGATTCACGGGACCGGTGTGCGAGCAGGTGGAAGAGAAGCCGATGGGCAAAGTGGACTGCGCGAAATGCGTAGTTAACGGTGGCAAATGCGTATATTCGGACTTGACGGATGACATCTACTGCGTCTGTTCCCACGATCGATACGGTACGGTTTGCGACCACGCGTACGAGGGGTTGACTCGAACGATGTTGGCGTACGTCGAAGCATGCGTCGACGACAGGTGATGATGATGACGACGTGCGCTTGGTGGCGAGTACATAAAATGGGGTGGTGAGAGGAGGAGGGCTCAATATGGATTCCGTTAGTGGATGCGATGTATCTTATATTACTATTTCAGCTTCTTTGCATCGTCGTCGTCGTAGTATTCCCGATGCCGACGGAAGACGTAACGCCTTCGGCGAAAGAATTCTACGACGATTCAGCGACGAGAATCGGTATTACGCACATATCGGAAATACTTGTCATGGCCGAGTGGCCGGCTCTTTTGGTCGGCGCGAGTAAATCGCTGTTCGCATTCGATCTGAACGAAGGGTTGGACGTGTCAGCGGCAACGAAATTGGAATGGATACCGGACTCAATGTCGATGGAAACGTGCTATCTAAAAGGAAAAGAAGAGGAGGATTGCCAGAATTACATCAAAGTTATAATGCCAGATGCTACGACCGGGAACCTGCTCGTTTGCGGAACCTACGCGCAGAAACCGAGATGCGTTATTCTGAATGGGAAGGAGGTCGACACGTGGAATCTAGCGAATCGATGGGAGACGAACGCGACGGACGCTTTGTACAAGTGTCCGTTCGGCGTGGACCAAAAGGTCACCACGGTCTTTGCGGACGGTAGCCTTTACGCTGCGACGGTTGCCGATTTCACCGGCAGAGTGTCCGCGTTCACGAGGTCGATGGGGGGGGGGGTATCCGCCTCTCATATCCAAAAAGTCAGATTCCATATGGCTCAACGACCCGGTATTCGTGGGCTCGTACCAGGAAGATAACGAGGTTTATTTATTCTTTCGTGAAATTTCGATAGAAACTCAAATCACGGAGAAGATGTACTATTCCCGAATAGCCCGTGTTTGTACCCAGGACAGAGGCGGTAATAGTGCGATACTCGAATCGACGTGGACGAGCTTTTTGAAAGCGAGACTAGACTGTTCGTTTCGCGGAGATTTCACCTTCCACTTTAACTACTTGCAGGACGTCGCAAGAGTTGTCGAAGGGAAGAAGATCTTCTATTACGCAATTTTCACGACCGGAGATCACGAGATGCCGGCTTCCGCGGTGTGCAGATTCGACCTCGACCACATCAGGGACAACTTTGACAACGGTCTACTCAAGCTGACCAAGTGTCCGTGGTCGCCGATCGCGGACTCGCAGCGGGGCGGTTGTTCCGCATCCGATTCGATGCGGCTCCGCACGATAATCTAAATTTCATCAAATCGCATCCGTTGATGCACGAACCGATCGTAGGGGAAGATCCGTTGTTTACGCTCGTTCGAAAACGCTACAGATTGAAGACGTTGGTGGTGAGGACGAGCCAGCATCACACCGTCGTTTTTGCAGGAACGGACCACGGCCGCGTCTTGAATTTGGTTGCGAGACGGGAATCGCCATCTGTTCTGCTGTACAACGTGCGCGTGATCGGACAACCGATCACGAACATGAGATTGTACGAGAGCCGAAATGTCATATTCGTGACGTCGAAAGATTTTCTCGTGGAAATGTCTACGCAACATTGCAGCCAATTGAAGAACTGCTCCTGCAAGCAAGATCCCGATTACAGTTTGATCGACGGCAATTGCACCGAATCGACCTTGTCGTAGATCACTCGAACATCGAGCTCGACTGTAACGATTCGATCGAACACCACGACGGCGTCGAGCTCGACTGTAAAAATCAGATCGAATACCGCTCCGGCGTCAAGCTCGAATCCGGTCTCGAACCCGGTCTCGAATCCGGTCTCGAATCTGGTCTCAAATCCGGTCTACATTCTTCATATAACGTTGCTGAAACGGAAGATTCGACGCCGAAGTTAGCCGTACTAGCCCTAATCGGTTGGGCGATTTGTTTGGCAGAAATCGTTTGCTGGTGTCTGATGCGGATCCGTTTTCTCAAATCTAAAGAAATAGATCGTCCATCATCATCATCATCACCACCAACACCACCACCACCAACACCACCACCACCACCACCACTACCACAGTGATTTTTCTGTGTTTTTTGTTTTTGTTTTTTTGTAATAAAACAAATATATACATGTATATCTGTGCCTTTGTTTTTGTTTAATTTGTCGTTGAAAAAGGGGAAACAAACAAATGGGCGTCAAACTCGCCCTGCTGGAAACGCGTACAGATGGTTACCGTTTCACGCGTACTTTCCGATAGCGATCATCGTCGCTCTTCTCTGTCTGGTCGGCAGCTGGATGATAGTTGCATCGAGGGAGATCACGGGTCGGGTGTGCCATGTTCTCTACGAAATCACGAAGGTCGTCAAGCACCTCATCATCAACAAAGGTAGGAGAGAGAAAGCTCAGGAGAGCATGGAAGGTTTTCAAGCGCTGTGGCACACGATAGACGGATGCGACAGTTTCAGAACGTGGGAAAATATTCTCAGTTACGCTTTCCATAGGATGACGGCCAAGCTGTTTTTTGCGAACGGTTGCGCTGGTACCGTTCGATAACTTTCACCAGATACCTGGTTTACTACCCGTTGAATTTTTTCGTGTGGAAACCGATTCACGGAGACTGCACTCCTACCTACGAGGACGACGTGTGTTTCGTGTTTCACTTCGATCTCCTCCTGGATTTCGTACGACAATATCTAATCATAATCGTCGTGGTCGCTTACAACTGCTGGCCGCTGTTCTCGCACGTTCTGTCGACCGTGCGACGGGCCGTCAAGGCCGTGCACCGAGAGATGTGCTACCAGTTGCACAGACTCGATCCGGGAGGTCACTCGCTTCCGGCCGGCGGTTTCGCGAAAAGATTAAAACGTTTCTTCAGCGTCGACTGAATTCCAATGCATCCTCTGCCTCCTTGCGATTCGAAACATGCATTCGGGCAGCGACACAGATTGCCCACAGGAGAAGGGCGAGCACGACTAACCCGACGCAGCCTGCAACGAGTTCGAGACTGCACGACGCGGTTTCGCCTCGCGGGTCTCCGCTGCAGGAGTACGAAGCACCCCAAAGATCGAAGTCCATCAAATCTACGCTTTCGAGATCGAGAACCCATCCCAAGCTGTCTCTTATACACATCTTGCCATTGACCACCGTTGCTCGACCGGACGTCTTCCTGAACACGACCGACCCACCTTCGAGAAAGCTGAAAGTACCGTTCTGCACGTGAAACTTTCTATCCGGCAACAGACCCGAAATGTGTACGAGGACCGGAGGAGGAGGAGGAGGAGGACGGAAACCCAGGCTCACCACGCCATTGTTGTCGTTTTGCGCTTCGAACGTATAAGAATCGAACGTTAATCTCCAGAGTAGCATTACAGAGCAACATACCGAGATGAAGAGAGTCCAATTTTTCTGTCTACTGATTGCAACAGCAGCAGCTTGTTCGATGGCGAACGCATACAAGTTAAGTGTTAAACACAGTTTGCATTGCGAAGCACATAACCTGATAGACGTGAAAAATTGTCTAAAACTTTCCGGCCACGGTCAAGAAAACCTCACGGTGGACGATGCTTTTATCGGCGGGAAAGGCCAATGGATGTTCTACCGAGACGCACGTGCGTTGGCATCCGATTCAGGCGATCTTCGTGGTAACATACCGGCAATCGTCACAATAGGCGTTGCTACAGCTGTTGTATCCTGTCTAATCGTCGGTGCGTGTATTTACTGCATCAGAAGAAAAATAGAATCCGGAAGATACAGACCGTTCGAGAAAGAGGGACGTTCGAGTTACAGAGCAAGGAGGGTATCCGACAACAATGTTTGAAGAAAAAGAACAAATTTTGTAATAAAAAAAAACTATACAAAAAAAAAAGTAAATAGTCTATTTTGTTGTTATTTATTTATTTTCAAAATGTGTAGCATTGGGTATTCAAAACGTAATCTCTTAGCACGCCGGGTAACGAGAAACATCCAAGTTGAACTTCACTATGGTCCATCTGCAGAAAACTTGTAACGAATGCACCGAATTACTCGAATCGATGCTGTACCAAAAGCTCACGGGTGAACGACCGCACAAACCGGTTCTGATG